ACACTGAAAATGTATTCAGAACGAAAAATTGAGTGGATAGACAAGTTTTCGCAAATTTGATGAATAGTGATTTTATCGGTGTAAAATATTGCGGTATAATTGTACCGATAAGTGCGAAAATATGATCAGTATTTCTAGGAAGTAAAAATATGACGTGAACGAGAAAAATACGTAGGTTATGAATTTGTGGGTTAAATTGGATGATTTAAGAAAGTTAAGCGACGTGTGGGACCCACTTTAAGTGATTTAAGGGCTTCAAACACATAAAATTTGAACACTCTCTCTCCTCCTCTCTTGTCCATCGTCGAGCTTCTTCTCCATTGTTGGGGTTTGGAGCTTTTTGATTTCCAACTCTTTTTCTAGCCATTTTTAGGAGAAACTTCCAACTACAAAGTTGTTCTCCTTGAGTTTGTGAGTGACTTTCATGTAGAGAGCATCTTGTGGGGAGCTTTGTGGGAGGAGAAAACCCCACCATACAGCCACAAAAATTTGGTGTTTTGAAGGGATTTTGGTGCTTTCTTGTGTTGATTGGTTGGTTGGAACTCATCCCCTTGGACCCTAGGAAGCTATTGGTGGTAAGTTTCTACACTCTCATTGAGTTTTAATTGAAATCATAAAATGGTTGAAGGTTTGATTATGTGTTGATGAGTTGTGAATTGTAATAATTAGGAGCTTAAAATGGTGTTTCTCCTTTGGAATTAAATGCTTAGAATGATAAATGATGATGATTGATGCAATAAAAATTATGGTGATTTGTAAATTTGTATCTTAGTGAAATTTATGATTGGAAAGTGTTGGAATTTCAATACTTTGTGAAATTGATATGTTGGGTGATGGTGTGATTGAGTTTTGGAGCATTGGTAGGAATTAATTATAGGATTATATGATGTGTGTAAGGATTGAATTGAATTGAAAACCTTGGAGGATACTTCCTCGAAGAATTCGACCTATAGGAAATTTGGAGGAAAATGATGTGAAAAATATTGTAAAATCAATGGTTGGTGACTTGGTGCATGAATGGTTAAATGGTGAGTTAGTTCAAGGATTAAAATGATTGAGATAGTTGAAATAAGTAAAAAACAGCCTTTAGGCCTAAGTGGTTATGTTGGTTGTTATTATTGTGAAATTGATTGATTGTGTGCAAGTGTTGATGGTCATGATTATTTGATCAATATAGGTTACCTCGCACGGACTCAATAGAGGTGGATTAAGCTTGAAGCTTACGTGGAAAAGGATTACTTGTGGAGTTGAGGTAAACTCTTGGTACTGGGATTTATCCCCTTGTGTGTTCCACCACACATAGTGGAAGGTAGTGGTTGGATTGTGTGCTCTGTGAAATGGTATATTCATGCATTACTGTCTTAATTGTGTGACATGCTTGGAGCATGTTGTGTGATATATTTGTGATCTCTGGCCAGTAAATGTGTGTGGTTTGGACTTCCGCTTGTGATACCCCTTTGGGGGCTTCCGGTCGGGTTTTGCCGTAGGGCCGTCTCTGGGAGCGGTACCAGGATGATCCAAACGTGATACTTCCGCTGGATAGGTCTTTTTGGAGTTCCAGTTGGGTTTTGCCATGGAGTCGTCTCAACCATGGGAGAGACACCAGGAAGCTTCCCGGGAGTTATATGATGGGGTCCTTGAACGGAATCCTTATGTGGATGTTCTTGGATGTGAGCCCAGTGTGATGTGATTTTGTATGTTAGGAATTTTATATGATGATCATTGCATGCACATTGAGTGAGCCATGGGGTGAGTGATCTTCTAGTATCCTTGGTTTACTAAGATATATTTGTATATCTCACCTCCGCGTTTGGGGACACCATTTCAGGTTCTAGTGAGCATGGAGGATCTTCGGGAAAGAGGCCTACTTAGAGAAGGATTGGATCATGATGTGCATATGGAGAACATAGCATTTTGGAGGATTATATTTGATGCACATAACATAGGATTTAGCATTTTGGACTTAGGTTATGAACATATTGCATGTTGATATTGCCATGCTTTTGGGTGTTCATGACAATATTCTAAGTCTTTTGTAATTGATGGATAATAAATGCCTATTGTTTATATTGAGATTTTGGTGAGCATGGGACTTGTCCATGGCCACATATTACGTTTTGAGGCATTTGGGAATGTTTGATGTAAATTGGCCATATGATGTGTAAATGGCAAGGAAAGGATGAATATTGTAATTGATACCTTAGACAAAGAATTATGCATGATGGAAGGTCCTAGAGCCTACATTAGTAATGGTACAAGTTGTGCAATTAGTATTAGAGTGTTAGGAGTAGAACACTTGATCCATTTGGAAATGAGAAAGCTGTCATCTGTGATTTTTACAATACGGTAATCGATTACCTGAAATAGGGGACACGAAATTGAGCCACTATGAATAAAAGTAATTGATTACTCTTGTGATGGTAATCGATTACCTAGTTCAGTAATCGATTACCTATATAGCTTGGTAATCGATTACCAAAAACAGGGGAGCCAAAAATTAGATATTGTCTGTTACTGTAGCTTCCGGTAATCGATTACCTTGAGAATGGTAATCGATTACCACTGTGCAAATTTTGAAAATGAGGGGTTTTATAACCCAGAGTTAATGGTATTGCTTGGAGGGGTTATAATGAATAAGTTTTAAGCTTACGCGAGTTTTGCATTTATAATTACGGGGTTGTTTTAATTGATTACGCAAATGGTTAATGATTAATAATGAGGATTTAATAAAAGAAAAAGTTTACCTGTAATTTAATTAACTCAATTACTGTGATTGTAACTGCGCTTAATACCATAGGCAATGATAACATTACCGGTACGTAACGGGTTGTTACAATTTGCATACATACTTAAAAATCCACTGGCCAGAGATAGATATCATACATACTTATCATATCATTTGTCATTCATCATTCATCTGCTTTCATAACTTTCAATGTATTCTACTATGTCATACTACTACCATGCACAATGCATCACTATAACCATTACTCCAATAGAGCACAAAATGGGATTAATCCCAATGTCTAGAAATTTACCTCTCATAGACTTCTATTTTCTTCTCTTTTCTGCTTCAAGATCCTCAATCACAACAAACCACACAAGTTCAACATATGAAAAAAGTGTAAATGTGGTCAAAAAATCATACAACAGATGAATCATTAAGTAATTGGCTAGATTTCCATCATAAACCTTATGAAACATAACTTACCATGTTTGGTATTTTCAAGAACTTAGGTCTTGAACAAATGTTTGTTCCAATGGGAGTTCCTCTACTAAGGTATTACTTGGTTTAACACTAAACCAACAAACAACACCAAACACACCATCAAAATCCATCAAACTCCAACAAAATCAGAATTTTCAAAATTTAATACACATGAAAACCTAAATTCTTCAAAATCCATGAAAACTTGAGTTGAGTATATGTTTTCTTACCATGAATCCTTTAGAATGAAGGAAGTAAGACTTTTCAAGCTTTAGAGTGGTGAAACTCCTCACGCAACGCAAAATCCCAAAATTTCTCCAAACTTTGTTGGTGAATATCTTTCTCCACAAAACTCTTGTTCAAAAATGAAGGATGGGTTTTGTTCTTGATGAGATTCTAAGCAACTTTGGTTTTAAAACGTAAGCTTTTCATGGCCTACAACTTATATGGGCATTCAAGCTTTTCAACAATGGTGTTTGCTCTTAAAATGACTAAGTGTTCATGGAAAGGATGGTGAGGTTGTGTTTTGTGTGTCTTAAGCAATATACTTAACTCACTTAAGTGTTTTAAACCACTTTTGACCAAAGTCAATATTTTCACTAGGTAAACTACTCTTTTACGTTTTTATTCTTAATATTTTCTAGCCAATGAACTTAACACTTCTAACATGTGTTTTAATCTCATAAACATCATGAAAATTGTTATTTTCTACACTAATTTCAAGTTTCGGGCTAACTTTTGCCTATTTGCATTTTCACCCAAAAACTTTCTATAATTGCACTTTTATCTTAAAAGTGACTTACTTTGTTAAAATTAGATTTGTATCTAATTTATCTCTTTTAATCATGGCAAATTCCTATTTTCTCATTTTACTGATTTGGGTTATTGTATTTGTGTCTATAGCTAGAGATAACAAATCTTCTATAACATGAGACTTGTATTTCCCTTCTTTTATTATATAATATGATCAAAATCAAGAAAAAGAAAAACAATAGAATGGATAAAAGGAATTAGCTAAAATGAACATGGTGTAGAATGAATCGTGCCTTTCTTTTTCTTCAAATATTCCTCTAGACTTCCCTCACCACTCAGCCTCTCACGACATGAGTCTCCCTCCTTTCCAACACAAGAAAGACTCGTAGATAAAGTTTAATATTGATTGATAATGAGTTAAGTCAAATACATATAAATGGAAAGACTCATAAAACTAATGTGTTAAGGTTTTTGATTAAGATACGGTGACTTTTATCATACATTGTGCTTGAGAATCAAAAAGAAAAAATCAAAGAAACTTTGAACTAAAGTATTCTGGTGTAAAGAAACCAATGGGGGTTTACCAAAAAAAAAGAGAGAAACCAATGGGGCATGTCATACAAATGTCAGCACAAATATTTTATTGCCTCTGGCAATCAGCAAATACTCATGCAAAAACAGAATCCAGTGAGAACCGAATTGAAAAGCACAAGAAAGTATGTAACCCTTCTGTTATTACCAAGAACGATGTCGTCGATTGTTTATCATCCTTGTTGTCGTGGAGTCGAATCCGTCGCCGCTCCATTAGTTTCCTCGCTTCAATGGGTTACAACGTAGAGAAGATGAAGGGTTTGAATTTTTGGTAAAAATGGCGGAGAGACGTAGAGTTTGAAATTTTGGTGAAGTGGTGAAAGAGAGAAGAGGGAAAAGATTGAGTAAGCATTTTGCTGCACGGCGTGACTCAGCTCAGAATTCCAACCTGGCATTATCGAGATTCCATAAGATCAACTGGTATAAAACACTAAACTACTTTCCAGTTATTAATTTCCACAACCTCCAGAAAAGGATGTACAACTATTAGAGATCAAAATCTTTACAGTGAAAAGCAGCTAAATTACTTCGAGGTGAAGTATTAACTCCAAACACCTATATATCCTACCGTATCGACAATAATGCTATTTAGATCGATCTCTGCTTACGAAAAATAGCCTCTTTGGTTACAAGTTTAATACCCCTGACCCAAAGCTCAGCAACTTCTAACCCCCCATCACATACAAAATGCAGTTCCCTGTTCTTATTAGTTAGCACCCTAAACATTCCTGGTTCATCTGCATCACCTTTCTTGTATCTATTTCTACGTAATGTTGAGCTTGGTCCTAACTCTGCCTCACAGCACACCACATTTCTCCGGCCTGACTTCCCCCAACACAGCACACCCGAAGAGCCCAACATTCGCATTTGTTTACCATGTGGAGAGCCCTTTCCACCTTTGGTGTGCTTCTGAACATATGCACCACCTAATACCAATTTACGAGCAAGTTCATCTAGTATAACAGCCTCCGCATCGTTTTTCCCTCCGGCTAATTTCCTTGCAAGTAAGAGTGCAGTTTCCCCTCTAGCATTTTTAGCATTGCAATGAGCACCGTGTGAAATTAGAAGCTCACAAATGGAAGCATGGCCTTCCCTTGCTGCTAACATGAGTGGAGTGTAGTCCTCCCCATCAGGGACATTAACATCATAACCTTTGCTGGCGAGCAATGTAACAGCATCCAAGTCACCACGACGAGCTGCACAATGCAACGCGTAGAAGCCACCAGCATCACGATTACCCTTTTCAAGCGCAAATTCAAGCATGATCTTTTCAAATAAATCATGGTTCTGGCTCAATTCTGATAGGGTTATTGCTGTTTCACCAGATTTATTGCACAGCTTTACATCAGCTCCAGCGTATACAAGCAATCGAAATGATTCTACATGACCCTTCAAAGCAGTAAGCATAACTGCAGAGAAGCCACCATCATCTTGATAGTCAAGATCAAATTCTCCAGATTCAATGACAGTTTTCAATGCTTCAGTATCTCCTGCTTGAGCTACAAACATTAAGGGGGAAAAGGTAGAAGTATTGCTCGATTTGGGTATCTTGCCTTTTCTGATTGTATCCAACACTGCATGTTGAAAACCAAGTGACCACTTGTTTGACTCAGCAATGGAACTCGCAGATTGACCAATAACAGTCACCAAGCCAAAATCAGCACCAGCCCTTGTTAGTACTTTGAGACACTCCTCTTGTTTATATTTTGCACAGATCATCAAAGCTGTGTCACCAGAGTCCGTTATAGAGTTCAAGTCACAACCAAAATCAATAAGGCATTGAATGATTGTTGGTAAGCCAAGACGAGACGCCATGTGGATAGGAAGGAACTCAGTTCTGCTGCTTGTTTTGACTGGGGATTCCACATTAGCACCACATTCTATGAGTATCCTGGCAGCCTCAACATTGCCACAGAGGATGGCATGGTGTAGAAGGGTTCTTCCACGGTGAGGACTATTGGAGGTGAAATGTTGCAGGAGCAAGCGTAGTATAGCACCACTTCTTTCAAAATACTCAACTGCACACCAGGTGATGCCATAAGGTTCTCCCAGCCCAGCACCCACACGAAGCTCTTCACCAGTTGAAGTGTCCCATGACCAAGCTCCAAGCTTCACTTCGAAGTCTATCCTAGCACCATTCTGTAGTCCATTTGTAAGAAAAAGCCCCAGTGAGGTTCATTTCACATTAACAATAAAATCTTGATAGTTAAAAGTCCAATTATGTAACTATCAGCAGAATAAACTGATCAAATCTTAAAAATTTAACCATGAAGATCTTATTTTATTTTTTCTACATTATTGTGCAATTGCAGAAACCTGCTGAAGATCATTAACTGAGGTCTGGCCTTTAGCAGACTGGTGAACAAAATTTTGGGTGTTAACAAAATGAGGTATTTTGTGCCACAAAAGCCCCATGACTTCTTACATTATTCATTATAGCTTAAAGGAAATTATATTGGAAAACATATAGTAACAGACCAATAGTTCTCAAAAGGCAAATCCAAAAGCAAAAAAATATTGGCTGCGAAAACTAGGACTGGGCAGAGATGTGAAATATTCTCATGCACTAAACCAAATTCAATGTAATTATAATCAAAGGTTTGAAGGGGGCAAGGGAAAAGATTACCTGCAATAGTAAAGCAACAACAGGGACCTGCCTATGAATTACAGCTGCAACAAGGGCAGTACAATTCACATTTGTGTAGAGAGAAGGCTTTAGTGACTGTAGAAGCACCCGGTCAGTAGCACTCGCATCCACACCACACTGCCATTGAAAAAATAATTTAACATATTCAAACAAGTATTTTTCATAAACCGTAAGTTAAAACTACGAGTAAAAATTGAACACAAGCAAAGGTTTATTTAGTTTCCCTTAGAGAATGGTAGCTAAATCCTAAGGTTGCACTTGTCTTGGAATATTAGGGGAGGACATGTCAGTTGAACTCTAGGAAGAAGACAATTCATGGTAGAATTTTCTTTTTGCAAAACGACAGATAAGGAGTGAAATGTTTGAGGAAGTTTTGTGAAAAGCTACCAAGCTTGGCAAAGGCATACGAAAGTTTCCTGAAAGTAGAGAGAGCAAGGGGGAAACAATATCTGATTTTGGCAAATACCATCCAAGTTATGTAGCAAGAATCTTTCACAACAAAGATGTCCATGATGACTTCAATGGCCTTCGGGTTTGAAAGAACCTCACAGAAGGGGTGATAGTTGTAAGTACACAGGACCTAACTTCTTAATGCGCCAAATAATACCGACCAAACAATTGCAGATGCTACTGATTTATATCTCTGTTCAGGGGTCCCATTACGGAATCTCTAGAATCATGCTCTGCAGTACACGTACCTTTATGAGCGTCTCAACCACATCTACAAACCCCCTGCAGCATGCGGTCACAAGAGCATGTACAGCAATATGGGGTCGGATCAAATCAGAGCTCATGAGCAATTCTTCACACCCTGATTGCCCATGGTAGCTTGCCTCCAAAAGAGCTTCTTCACATGCTGGCTGCGATGCCCCTGCTTTAAGTAAGATCTCAAGAATATTAAGGTGACCCTCCCTCACTGCTGCAGTCGTTGCAAAGCCTCTGAAGAGTTTCTGGTTTACATCAGCTCCCACAATCTGTCATTTTAATAAAAATCGACCTTTTAGTAACTTATAGTTCATAAACTCAACAAGAATTTTTCTTTTTCTTTTTCTATTTCTTCCTTCCCTTTTGTTCAAAGTGTTGGAAGGTAGGAATGTAACAAGACAGCTATATAGTAAGAAATCAGGAACTTCTTATCCATTTAGGACAAAACGCCTTCCACACTTTAATCATTTTTTCTTTCTTTCTTCCTTTTTGTAGTAAGGTATGCTACAAGAGATTAGAGCAGGAGACTAAATCCACACAGATAAAGAAACAATATGGAGAATATAATATGATGTGATATAGAAAAATGAAAGTAAAAAAGAAAGGAAAAGAATGAAAGTGAACAAAATCAATCACATTAAAAAAAAAAAAGGCAAGGTAATCAAAGAGATTTTTAGGGCTCATTTGAAATTAGTTTTCAAAAAGAATTTTTCGATTTTTAGAAAAAAAAAAAAAAAAAAAAAATATTTGGTGAGATCTATTTTGTTAAAAAAATTAAAAATTATAACTATTTTTTGTTTTTAGAATCAAAATTAAAAAACATAACTTGTTTTGTTTTTTTATTTTGATTTTTAACTTTTAAAAACAAAAAAAATATATAAAAATTACTTGTTTCCATAATTATTCTAAAAAATAATTATAAAAAAAAATTAGATCACAATCAAACCGGACTTTAATTATTTTTTTTGTTTGCTGAGCCTCAGGAGGGAGGGAGGGATGCATCATGTGTGAATTGGGTTATGTCCAATGGTCGGGGACAGCACAGTATGGGGCACACAAGACATGTTTGCTACAGAAAAAAAAAAAGAAAAAAAAAGTGGGGAAAACGAGGAGAAATGAAGAAAAATTATTAGGTTGGAAATAAATCTGCCTTACGAGGCAGCCAGCTGTTATAGAAAACACCAAAACACTGCAGAATTTTTTTCGAATAATCAGCGTATGCTGCTAAATCCATAGAAAACATGAAGACTTGAAAAGAAGTATACGCCTCTCTTAAGATTCAGAAGGAGAAGACAAATATGACGAGGGGAAACGGACAGATAAACATGTCAAGGAGAGATGATAACGAGGGATAAAAGTGAAGCGGGGACCAACCACGGTAAAATAAAAGCACGGCAGAAGAAAATTCACAACAACAAAAAAAATGCGAACGGTTCAAAAATTCAAAATCTACATTACCTTTTCTTTCCCCCGTAATGAAATCAAGTTTTGTTTCCAAAAACTAAAGATCAATTAGGGCGAAGACTTGTTATGTTTTTAAGAAATTAAAGTAAAAAGAGAGAGAAATTTTTAAATTCGTAATTTAATTTTGGAGCAGAAGGCGTTTAAACTAGGAAGAATAGATCTCTTAAACAAAATCACTTCTAAAACTCTTCTTCACTTTCAGTAATCTCACAAGTTAATAATATTAACAATTAAAAAACACATTTGACAACATGTTCACTCAAGTTGAGCAAATAAAACAGTTCAAAAACAGTGAATCTGCAAACGTTCCAAAAATGAAAAAAAAAATTCAACAGAAAAGTTAAAACTGAAACTTGGATCACGATCTGAACAATCACGTCGCAACGAGCGTGTTATTACCAGTAGCTTCCTGACGAGGCTGGCGTTGCCGGCATGGACGGCGAGGAACAGTGGCGTGACGTCGGTGACGAATTCCTGAAACTCGACGCGGGCTTGGCTGGCGGATTCAGGGAACAGTATGAGGTCGGTGCTGCGGGTCTTCAAGGTGACGGCGCCGGCGAAGTTGACGTCGACGGAGGGATCGGCAATGCAGTTGAAGGCCAAGTTCAGATCGCCGGAGTGAGAAGCTTCGAGAAGGCGCTGCGACACCTCGGCCTCGTAGTCCACCGGGAACACCTGCTTGGCGGAAAACACCGTCATTTGCGGCGGCTAGGTTGGAGGTTTCAACTTTTTTAGGTAGTGAGGGTGAGCATGCGCCACGCCTGAATCTCTCTCTCTCTTTCTTTGGACGCGAGACTCGAGAGAAGGAACTTGAAAGAAGTGAGCGCGAGAGAGGGGACACAGAGAAAGAGGGAGGGAGTGAGCGCATACTTATACTGTGGTGGACTTTAACTGCTCTTAACTATATAATATACCAATCCAAATTGCTTTTGACTTACACGATGCAAAACAATAAATTAAAATAAATATGGATTTTATAAGAGTTAGATGTAGGAAAAGTGGTTGTGTTATGTTATACAGATTCGTTTTGCTTGCCGAAGTTTTTTTTTTTTTTTTTGCTGCGGGCCCCACAAATGTTGTGTGTATAGAAAACTTTTTGTGGTCATGTTAAATGATAGATGATAAACCTAATAAATATATTACAATTTCACTTTTTCATAAATCATTTATTCATTTAATATGAATAAAATGCATATAAGTATGTGCATGTCGCACCGACATCGACACGGGATATGGGATACGACACAACATGACATTCCACATATTAATTTTAAAAAATATTAAATTTTGACACGTTAGGATACGTTTTGATATTATATAATATTTTTAATTTATGTAGTGTATATTATATTTAATATTCAATAATTTAACAAAAAAACTAAAACAAACTTATAATATTAATCAATTTTGCAAAGAAACATAAGATATCCCAAATGTTTATATTAAAACTCAATAAAATAGTAATCGTAATCCAACGAATCTAATAGTTAGAACTCAAAATGCAACGCAACATCACCTCCTTTGAACCTTTTTTGAGTCTTTGCAATGAGTATTAGAGTGTCGGAAAGTGCCGGAGTGTCGATGAGTGTCGGACACAACACGTCAGGGATTTTGAAGTGTCATTACTTCATAGCCTTTAAGTCATACATCATCTATATATAATTCGAAAAACTTCAAAAACCTTCTTGTAAGATTTTTTAGAATTACTTACCTATTTCCTAAAACAATTAATTATTTACATCCTTATTTAAAGTTTCTTTATCACTTTCTTCTAACTTGATTTTACATCCTAAATTAAAGTTAACAGAGATAATTTTTTTTAAAAATACAAAATCTACCCTTTAAAAAAAGAGAGATGAAGCCAACGTTGTGGGTGTTTGTATAAAAGATTTAGAATCTGCATATGTGAAAGTGTCAGAATTTATTTTCGCTCAAAAAATTCCATTCCATTAACTATATACCAAAAGATAATAATTTAACAAGATTAACCTCGAAAATTTTCAACTTGAAAACACATAAATAAAATACCAAAAATCCAAAATAAGCATTGATCACGAAAAAGAACATAGAAAGGATCCAGTTCACCTCGAAAAATTTCAACTTGAAAATAACCATTGATTCAATAAACACATAAATAAAATATCAAAAATTCAAAATAAGCATTGATCACGAAAAAGAACATGGAAAGGATCCAGTTCACCATAAAGGGTGGGTCATGTTATGCCCAAGTTGACGTTTGGAAGGAAAAAAGGCAAAAAGGTCGTCAAAAACATAAATACAAAGGACAAAAATCACATAACCACAAGCTTCAGACAGAGAGAGATGCATCCAGATCTATGAAATCCAACATAACAACTCTTACAAATTTTTCTCCTCCTCCTATTTTGGACCTGTGTAGTTCTATGTTTTGCGTTCTCTTTTCCTCTATAGTGACAAAGAAGAAGGCTATGGTGCATTAGATGAAGACAAAACAACTTAAGTCGTAGCCAGAGGATATTAAGGATTCCTTTATATTATTTTTTTTCTGTTTTATTTTCATGTCAATTAAGGTATTTTTTAAAAAAATTAACTCCGTTAATTTTATTTTTGAATGAAAAATTAAGTATGGTGTAAGTGATAAATAAACTTTAAGTAAGATTATAAATAATTTAAAATTTTGGGAAAAAGGTAATTGATTCTAGAGAAAACTTATATTGATTTTTTTTTAAGTTTTCCCTATATAATTTGTACAAAAGTTAGCAAATTACACCCTAATGATGTGCATTTAAGTCACGCAGACCCCTCATGTCTTCAGATTTTTTTAATGTGATGCACAGAAGCACAACACTATTTCACGCTCCTTTATAAAAAAGAAAAAAATTCTTCTATTTATACTCTTCTTTTTTTCAAAATTCTATCTCAATCTTTTTTTTTTTCTTATTTTTGCAAGAGTACAAGCTCTCGGAGCATGACAAACGAGCTCCATGTCTTCCATAGCAATACATGACAAATGCATCTGAATTTCTATGTAAATTGAGGTGTCACTTAAATAAGCATGCTTGCTACACATTTACCTATATTAAATTAATAAATAATTTATAAAATAATTAATCCAATTATATATTTATTTTTTTGCATGAAAAAAGAAAAAAGAAATGAATGGGTCCTGCTTCAGTGCTATCTAGAAGCACTACTCGTCGCACCAATGCTACAACACGTGTAAAACATTTTTTTTTACAGCTGGTTGTTTTCTGTGTTTGCGTAATATTACATTAATTTCTTATAAATACTTATTCAATGAAAATGGATTCTCTGGCATACTGACATAAGATTAAGAATATGAAGAAAAAAAAACACCGTATGAATGAATTAAATTGAAGACTGTATCATGAGCAATTTTATTTTTCTCAATCCGTTTAATTTTTCTTTTTGGTAAAGAAAACAATTTAATTGTTTTATTTACCTGATTTAATAAACGAATTTTTTTTCTAAAAACGATTTGATCCAGCTAATCAAATTACTTTATTAATTCCGTTGGGTTTTATTTGGCTTAAAAATCTAATCAAATTTAAACATGCTGATCCCTAAAAATAATAATATGCATCAAATCGAACTTCAGTCCGGTTTTATTTTGCCATTAAAACCGAATCGAATTGAATTATCTCCATTTTTAAAATAATAATATAAAGCTAATCGAACTATCAATAAAATCGAACTGTATCATACGTTATTATATTTGTTTTAATCAACTTACAAATTGAATTTTTTTAATTATTTTAAGTAAATTGTTTTGAGAAATTAAATTAATTCAAAAAAGAATTAATTTACTTCATCAATTTAATTTAATTTGTATTTGTGCAAAATAATCAAACCAAATTGAACTGTATTTTAGGATCCAGTTTTGATAACCGAATTAATTTTGTAATTGGTTTAAAAATTTAATTGAATCAAAAGAAATAATTCGCAAAACATGAAAAATTCAACTGATTTGTTTTAACTCAAACCATCAGAACTAGTTCAAAGCGAGTTCAAAACGGGTTTGCTTACCCAAATTGATTCTGAAGTATGGAAATTGATCTTTTCTTGTAAAAAAATATGAGATGGTGATGCGGGAAGATCACAATCATATAAAATTGAATCAACAATTATGATTCTATAACTATCTTTTTAGTATATTTTTCGCTCTCTTCCTTTATTATCATCGATCTACTTTTGTATGTTTATGATTCTCCACATGATCATGTCATGTTTTTTTTTCACATGAGAGGATTCAGATCCATGAAGTATAAATCATAAAGGGTGTGTATGATAACCTTCCCATAACCAGTTTTTTTTTTTTTTTTTTAATTTTTGTTCTTGGGAATAGAAATAGTGTTTGACAAAATCAATTTATTTTTTGTTTTCGAGAATGAATCGGTTCAATTTATGTGCTAAGAAACAGAGAAAAGAATCAAAAAAAATTATGTTTTTTTGTTCCTTGACACCAAATAAGAAACATTTGTCTCTTTCAATCACTCTTCACCACTACCATCATCATCGCCACCACCACCATCCCGACAAAACCACCTGCGTCGTCATCGCCGCCGTCGTCGTCACCACCACCACGACGATGCCACTACCACCATCACCACCACCTCCACACCATCATTACCATCATGCCACTGTCACCGCCATCACTACCACCACCTTCACACCACCGCCATCACTACTACCATGTCACTGTCACCAACAACCACTAGCATCACCGAAGCCACTGCCGTCATCACCACCATCATCACACCACCGCCACTGCCACCACCACCACTGTCGTCACCACCACTATCATCATCACCGTCACGGCCACCTTTACCACCACCATGCCACAATCATCACCCCTATACCATATGAAAAGAAAAGTGATGATCCGAAAAAAATTTATGCTTAATAGGAATGAATTTGTATTCTAATATTTGTTATGTTATCAAACGCAATTCTCATTCTTGGAATAAAAATAGAACATGTTATCAAATATATTTTTTTTCTCAGAAACTGTTCCAAGGCACAGAAATAAAAAATAAATGTTTCTTTTTAAAAACAGTGCCAAGGAACAAAATGGTTGTCATGCACACCCAAATTGATTCAGAATCAATTGTGATTCAGAAACAATTAGGGATGGTAAACAAAACAGAGGCCTTTCAGGGTTTAGCTGGGCTCGTGAAGGTCTGGGCTTACATGTTTAAAATTGGTTGTTAGAACCAGACTTGTACTTGTATAAAAGCTCGTTTAATAAAAAGGCATCAGGCTCCAATTTAAAAGTTCGGTCTTAGAGCCTCTTAGGCTGACCTAGTATACTAACTTTTATTTTTATTTTATATTTTTTATATTACACATATAGTTCTCTCCCTCCTTAATCCATTTCACCACATTTTATTGGTTAAATTGACTTTTTGAATAATTTTGTTCTATATTATGTTATTTGGATACATTGAATTTATGAATCTCTGTGAAATTATTATTGCTATTGTCGTATATTCTGTTTAGATAAATTTTTGTTGTCTTATTTTTTTTAACAGACTAAATTAGGCTTTTATTTTTAGTAAATAAGTCAGGCCACAAGCCGATAATTATATTCATTACAGGTAACAGGCTAGGTCATACTAACACATTTAGATACAGACTTGGCCTTTTAAAACTAAAGTCCAGCCCGACTCCGCCCGTTAACACCCTAAGGTGTCAATAAA